TGGGGGATTGAACCGCGGTCCCTGTGCTTTGGTAAGCTTGTTCTAAGTAGGTGCTTTAGACCACTGAGCCATCTCACCAGCCCCTCTCCTCTTTCTTTATTTTTCAAAGTTTACTCCTTTTGTTTTCCTCTTCCCCACCCCTTGCTCTTTATGACTAAGCTTCATTGATCTTTAGATATTTAGTTGACTGTATGTTACTATCATTAAATTCTTTTCAATTGTTACAACTGGTATAGTTGCATTTAAGTATTTACTGTTATGTCAACCTTTGTTTTGTGTCTTTTTTTCTATTGTTAAGGGTGATACAGTTGGTAGCTTTTTCTGACTCCTGTGGCATGTCAACATCCAGTGTATCAGGCTGAGGAGATAGCTCCATAGCCTACGCACCAGCCTGGAAAGCATAAGACCCCGAGTTTGATCCCTGGTACCGCATGTTGTGCCAGTTCCAGAACCCTGGGCGTGCCACGCAGGCCCTGAAACTCGGTGTGTTTGTGCAAACCTGTAATCCCAGCACTGGGGAAACTGACACAGGAGGATCGCTATGAGTCTGAACTATGTATTGAGACCCTGTGTCAAAAAAAAAAAATCTAGTTTATCTCTGACTCTGCTATTGTTACTGATTTTGTTGCCATTATCGGGGTGGTGTGGTTATTGCTATTAATTGGCTTTTACTGAATGCCAATATCTGGTTTGTGTTGTGTCATCAATGATACTGTGGTTTATTTCCAGAGAACTGAATACTGGGCTAATTACGCTGCAGTCTCTTCCACCCACGTTGGCCGAGGGGTCAGACCTTGGGACAGACGCCAAGACCCGTGGTCAGCCATCCCCAGCATATGTCACCAGAAAGTAGACACTAACAAAGGAAACCTCCATTAGATAAAGTCTTTCCATGAGAAAATAAGGCAACAGAATGCCTCCAAAACTTTCAACTCCTTCAGAGCTCATCCACTGGACGCCAATAGAGAAGAAATCAAAAGCCAAAAGTGATGAAAAAAGACAAAACAATAAGAAGCTCAGCAAGCTGAAAGATGATGTAACTAAATAGCGAACGCACTTAATAAACAAAACAATCTGTGAGCTTATAGAAGACATGAATAAAAAGCCAGCTGAGCCAGACAAGGTCATACAAAACATGAATGACCAATTTAGTAAAGAATTAGAGTCCAAGGGGGCCAGGGAAATAGCTCAGTAGAATAAGTGCTTGCCTGGCAAGTTCAAGGTCCTGAGTTCAATCCCCGGTACTGCAAAAAAATAAAATAAAATAAAAATAAAAAAGAATTAGAATCCATGAAAGGTACCAGAAAGGAACCTAGAAGATAAAAGAAATTCTACTGAAAGAATAGGCACCAGAAGTGACCGCTGTGAGGACAGAGAATCAGTTAGA